CAAGGGTTTAGAATTTTTCTTAACCACAAATATTTCTAGATCTAATTACTATCATAGCAGAATTCAATATATATATATATATATATATATATTATCTACTCGATATGACAAGGTGAAAAATGCAAATACGCAGGTTGGACAATACCAAACCTCCACAATGACCAAAAACTAAGAACCTGAGGAGTATACCAAAAATCCAATCTTCATATGCCGCCACCAAACTCAAAAATGGCCTTATATATGATGCTAGACAACAGTCGCAAAAAAAAGTTTTAAGTATCAAAACTGTATAATTAGAGGGAGAAAATAACATAAATTTGGGCCTGACAACTCAAGATCATCAAACTGAATGCTTCACTCAGTTCATAAATTATGCAGCTACGCGTTCCACATCAGTCTCCTCCACTTGAGAAAAACTTACCCTCGAGTGTATAGCTGGATAAAAAGGGTCATCCGAGGAATCGAAAGGATAAATGTCAGCATCATTGAATGTCTTCGAAATTCCCATAGTAGCAGGCAGGTCCACTATATAGGCATTGTCATTAATCTTCGTTAGCACCTTGTAATGACCATACTTCTTAGGCTGCAATTTGTTGTAACTGCCAACTGGAAAACGCTCCTTCCATAGGAGCACCATCACATCATCTCCCACTACAAAAAGTTGCTTGCTGCCTACGATGGTGATCTGCAGCTTGCTTGTACTCCCTATTAGCATCCTCCAGTTTCTGTTTGAACTCATTCTGTACTTTCTGAATCTGATTCGCAAGATTTTCTACAGCAACATTTAGTCCAGGAACTTTTGGCAAGAGAATTAAGTCCAAAGCATGCTAGGGAGCTTCCAATTAAATAACAGAGAATGGCGACTTTCCTGCAGCCCTATGGACATCATTGTTACTCGCAAATTCTACTCGAGCTAAAGCGAAATCCCATTGCTTGGGTCGATCTCCACAGATACTTTGGATTAAGTTTCCCAAGGTTCGATTGACCATTTTCATTTGTCCATCCGTCTAAAAACGAACGTCATTGCTACTGACTCTGTTAGATGTAATTGATTTTAGCAAGCCATGCAAACAAATTCTAAAAACAACAGCTGTGGTTGCATAAAATTGCATTTCTTTACGAAGACTTGTGTTAGTGCCATGCCCCTTGCATAACAATTCCTCCACTTTCTTTTTCAATATCTCGCTTTCTTTAGGACTCATCCTATAATGAGGCAAATTGGGTAAACTCACCTCAGAAATGAAATCAATATAATGTTGAATTTCTCTCATGGGTGGCAACTCATCTGATAAGGCGTCTGGCATTACTTCACTAAACTCCTCTAGTATCGCCCTCATAGACTTAGGATGCTCAGCCCTCTCTTTCTTTCATGTGCCTACCATGAGAATTGGCTTCACAATTAAAGCGTGAACTTCGTGTGATTCTCTAATTTCAGCAGTAATCTCATGTCTAGATCAAGTAAACGTGAAGAAAGTCCGCCCCTTTGCCTGTTTCAAACGTCCACACTTTAAAGGCAGTAATGTAAACTTTTGACCTTTTTTCTTAAGCTTATATGTAGTTTGTCTCCTAGAATGTTGTGAATCAACATCATACTGCCCAGGCCTCCTAAAGAACGTATGACAAGTATCGATATCTACAACATCACAAAAAAATTTCATCTTTATATTTACCAAGGGAAAAGGTACCTGCACTGTTGCAGGCCAGGCTATTGCAGCTTGCTGCAATCAGCCCAGATCAAACCCAGCCAAGCCCACAAAACAATAGCAACCGAAGAGGAGCTCATGCAAGGAAAATGCCAGCAAAATACACCGATTACACTTGTCACAAATAAATATGTGATTCCGTTATATGAGCTAAGAATATGCAAGTCGTAAAAGTGATATTACGTATTCCGTTATAGTTGTTACGTAAACTAATTATAAAAGAAGAGGAATGAATGGAAAAAGGACAACAAGAATTATTCCCATACTTTCCTCACCTCTCTTATGCTCGTCTCCTTTATTTCCCTTTCCCTTTTGGTTTCTCTTCTTTCTATCGTAAGCTCGCTCCCTTAAATCCAAATATAATATCTCCAACATTTTGGTGCTTTCATTAAGAGTCTTGAACCTCATGACAAAGGGGATGATAACTCGCTCGAAGGCACTCGAAGACCAAATTTCTAAACTATCGGATCAGCTCAACAACCAATCATCCATGATTTCCGGACTTGATACTATTGGTCAACAACATTCAAGAACCTTTAAGAGACCGCAACAACAACACCTCGAGACATATGAGAAGCTCGCAAAACTTCATGTCCACCCAACAAACAATCATGGCCGACATGATGCTCAATATTGCCAAATGGGAGAAACGACCTCTCCAACCTCCCCCGTTACCTAATCCAAACACCCCACCCCGATTGCAACAACAAATGCATTCTTCCTCTCTCCACTCGACCGGTAACCCATCCAACTGCCCATAACATCACAATCCCAATAGCTAAGCCATTCCAACCATTCACCCCACGACTACCCAAACTAGAGATCCCATTGTTTACGGGCACAAACATTCATGAATGGCTATTTCGGATTGAGCATTTTTTTACCTTCCACAATACACCACCGTAAAAAAAATTGACCATCATTGCATTTTACATGACAAGCACAGCCTTTACAATGGTTCCAATGGATGCATTCGACATCACGAACTTATCACCCGGGAAGAATTCACTTAGCAATTAGAAATCGGGTTTGGTCCATCCAAGTTTATTAACTATGAAGCACAACTTTACAAACTTAACCAAGTCACCACAATTGTAGAATACTTATCCGAATTTAAGACCATTTCCTCTCACATCATTGGACTTAGCCACACCAACTTGCTTAATTGCTTTATCTTAGGCCTATGTGATGATTTACAACGGGAGCTATGCCTCCTCAAACCACGAGTCCCTCCACGAAGTCATAGGAATGGCTAGAATTATGGAAGACAAGTGCAACGCCGTCAAGGCAGACCCATAACCGAGCAACCTTACCCAAAACACAGACCCCACTTCCTACCATTCTCTCGCAACCCATCTCTACCACTAAACCCAAACCCACTACAAAATTTCCAAACCATCCGGACCCACTCACCAACAAAACCAGCCTTCCTTTCCCATTAAATGACTCACTCCACCCGAGATGGCCGCTCGGAGGGAAAAGTGGCCTCTCGCTTCAATCGCGATGAGAAGTTTACACTAAGACACCGATGCGGACCTCCTCGGCTCCTCCGCCTCATGGTCGAGTGTGGGGAAGAGCCCCCGATGAAGATCGAGCCGATGGTGAAACACCCTCCGACGCCGCGCAACCCACTAAAGAGGACGACCAAGTTAGGAAAATACCCCGCATCTCCTTCCATGCTCTCACCGGCAAATGGTTCCTTCCACGTTGAAACTAGCAGGCTCAATAAATGGGCACCCAGATCACGATTCTAATAAATAGGGGCTCCACCAATAATTTTATTCAATCAAGGCCGGCTTCTCATTTGAGCCTCGCCCGTCCGCCCTCCTCCCACCTTAAAGTGACGAGTGGGAAATGAAGATTCTTTGGGTCGCGGGGGACTTGCCTCTAAACCCTCCTCCAATCGGGTCATACAAAGTTCTCGCAGACCTACTTCTCCTCCCCATATACGGTGCGGACTTGGTTTTGAGTGTGCAAGTGGTTATCCGAATTAGGACCTATATTGTTTGATTATAAGGCACCGTAGATGGAATTCCAACACCAAGGGTCAACTATCCGTCTCATTGGCTTACAACAACCCTCTTTGGCCCACATAACCCTACAACCCCTCAAACGTTTCTCACAAACCTAATCGGTAGCCCAATACTACCATCTCTCCATACGACCTAGTCCAAACCTCAACACAATCTATTACAGGAGCCGATGCACCTTCTACCTTTCTCGTCTCCTTACGGACCCTATTCTATAAGTTTGGGAGCATCTTCGCTACCCCCATCGGTCTACCCCTCCAAAACTACTTGATCATCACATACCCCCGCTACCAAACACACCACCAGTAAATGTCCGCCCATATCGATACTCACATTTTCAAAAATCCGAAATAGAGAAGTTCGGTTGGAGAAATGCTTTCGGATGGAGTGATTCGCCCTAACACTAGTCATTTCTCCTCATCGGTGCTTTTGGTGAAGAAGAAGGATGGTTCATGGCGTTTTTGCGTCGACTACCGAGCCTCGAACATAGTCACAATCAAGGATCGCTTTCCAATTCCCACAGTGGATGAAATCTTGGATGAGCTTCATGGAGCTTGTGTTTTCTCTAAACTTGATCTTCGTGCGAGTTATCATCAAGTCGGGATCCACCCACCGGACATTGAAAAGACGACGTTTTGCACCCACGAGGGCCACTACGAGTTCTTGGTGATGCCCTTTGGCCTCTCTAACGCCCCTCGACTTTTCAAGCTTTGATGAATTCTATCTTCGGGAACATGCTACGTAAATTTGTCCTCGTCTTCTTCGACGATATCTTAGTATACGGCTCCTCTCGGGAGCAACATTTAGAGCACCTGGAGAAGGTATTCTTCACCTTACAATCCCATTCTCTCGTCCGCTAAGCTATCTAAATGCGAGTTCGGTTGTTCGGACTTGGGTTATCTTGGGCATAAGATTTCAGCTAAAGGGGTAGCAGTAGATCCTAACAAGTTAGTTGCCATCCAAGTAATGGCTATTACCCGATTCCGTTAAGAGTTTACGTGGATTTCTTAGCTTAACGAGTTACTATCATTGATTTGTTGTGAGGTATTCCTCCGTCTGCAGCACCTTTGACCCAGCTCTTATGCAAGAATGCATTTGTATGGTCTCCTACAGCCTACCAAGGCATTCTTAGAGTTGAAACAAGCCTTGTCAAGCATCCCCGTTCCGGCCCTTCCAAATTTTTCGAACCATTTGTGTTATAAACGAATGCATCTAAGCATAGGTATTGGGGCGATGCTATCGCAACAAGGACATCTCATAGCTTACTTTAGTAAAGGGCTATCTCCACGTCTTCAAGCCGCCTCCACCTATGCTCGAGAGATGTTGGCCATAATGAGTCAATTAGAAAGTGGCGCCGTACCTTCTTAGGTGTCGGTTTACTATTCGGACGGACCACCAAAGTCTTAAAGCCCTCCACAATCAAGTCATCCAAACCCCCGAGCATCGAAGTTGCTAACCAAGCTCGCTCGGATATGATTTTGATATTGTTTACAAACCTAGAGTGGAGAACAAACCAGCGGATGCATTATCCCGTGTTTCACGGGGTTCCTTCTTTACTCTCCAAACGGCTTCCAAACCTCTCATAAGCATCGTGGGATGCACCGAGGAGTTTTACAAGACTAATACCACTTCGACTCAACTAATTGCTTTCATTCGAACTCACCTATTGAGTTTCCATAGCACATAGTGAAGGATGGCTTAGTATGGTATAAGGGAAGAATATTCATACCGCTCGATTCTGCATTCCATCCATTAATCTTGATGGAGTTTCACAGTTCCTCTGTCGGAGGACATATTGGCATGCAGCGCACCTTAGCCGAATTGCGAGCATTTTCTACCGGCCTAAGCTTCGATAATCCGTACGTGACTTTGTAGCAAAATGTACCGTATGTCGGACCATCAAACCTTTTAACAAAGCCCCTAAGGGCTCCTCCAACCTCTCGCCCATTCTTGGAAAAATATGAGAATCCATTTCGATGGATTTTGTAACTCACCTACCCCTTTTGTCGGTAAAACAACGATCATGGTAGTGGTGGATAGACTATCCAAGCATGCTCATTTCTCAGCACTTGGACCCCAATTCTCTCGCTCCTCGGGTTGCTAAAATCTTTATTCACGAAATTGTTCGCATTCATGGGTTTCCATCCAAGCATCATTTCGTACCGTGATCCCATATTTATGAGCCACTTTTGGCGTGAGCCGTTTAGGCTTCAAGGCACCACTCTCGCCACCAACGAGTGTTTATCACCCCCAAACGGATGGTCAAACCGAAGTCTTGAATCGATGTCTCGAGGACTACCTACGCTACTTTGCTTCAAACAATCCCAAGCAAGTGGTTACAATTCCTTCCTCGGGCGGAGTGGCACTACAACACGTCCTAGCATTCAGCTATTAAAATGATCCTATTTGAGGCTTTTTTGGTCGATCACCTCCATCACTGCTGGACTATGTGGGTGACACTTCTTCCGTTGTCGCTATTGATGAGATGCTCCAGCCTCGACTATGTTAGCCACTCTACGAGATAATCTACTTCGAGCTCAAACCAGGATGCGTAATCAAACAAATTACAAGCATACCGACGTATCCTTTGCGAGTGGACGACCGGGTCTCCTTAAAACTACAACCATATCGACAATCCTCTCTAGCTCATAAGCAATCCAACAAACTCTCCAAATGCTTCTTTGGTCCCTTCAAGATTATCGGACGTGTGGGTTTAGTAGCTTATAGGCCGGATCTCCCTCCATCTACATACATACATAATGTGTTTCACGTCTCGAACCTAAAAAAATACGTTGGCAACCCGTTGGTTCAGCAAGTTCCATTACCCCAACATTTTGTGGATCACCATCTTGTTTTACAACCAACATTAGTATTAGGATTCGGAAAAATCATCCAAGCAAGGTCACTCGTGTCCTCGTGTTTTGATTCAAGTGGGAACATCAATCACCTTTCGATGCTACTTGGGAACCCATCCATGAATTTTTTCAAGATTATCCAACCTTCAACCTTGAGGATAAGGTTTCTTTTGAAGGGAGGATAGTGTTGCGAGCCGGATACCGCAGCTTGCCGCAATCAGCCCGTATCAAACCCAGCCAAGCCCACAAAACAATAACAACCGAAGAGAGCTCGTGCAAGAAAAATGCCAGCAAAATACACTTATTACACTTGTCACAAATAAATATGTGATTCTCGTTATATGAGCTAAGAATATGCAAGTCGTAAAAGTGATATTCCGTATTCCGTTATAGTTGTTACGTAAACTAATTATAAAAGAAGAGGAATGAATGGAAAAAGGACAACAAGAATTATTCCCATACTTTCCTCACCTCTCTTATGTTCTGTCTCCTTTATTTCCCTTTCCCTTCCGGTTTCTCTTCTTTCTATCGTAAGCTTTGCTCCCTTAAATCCAAATATAATATCTCCAACATGCACCATTCTATAACGTGGATCTTTTTCGTTGTTTCGATCCATCCAATGTTATAAGGATTTAGGTGTTTCTTTACCGGTAACTACAGATTATTAATTATCTCTTTGCCAATTATGTTCTCGCAGCTCCAAGTATCGATAATAATGTCAAAAACAATGTTGTTGATAGTGCACTCGGTTTGAAATAGTTGGTGGTGCTCGGATATTCCTTTCTCGGTGTCAACATCATCCGTCTTACCACATAGTTCCGTACATCTTCATCCTCATTCCTATACTCATCACCACCATCCCCGTCTAGTCCATAGAATACTTCATCGTCCTCTCCATTGCCATTATTCATAATGTTCACTACTGTCTTTCGCCGAGGACATATATTAGAACGATGACTCGATTGATAACACACCTATAGCACTTTCCAATCATTGGCCTTTCATATGGATTGGTAGGGTTCTCGCGATTCTCTCCCTCTTAACACCTTCCGTTTTCCCATAACCTCGCTCCTCATTAAACTTATCCCCGTGGGTATTTTTATCATTCTCGCTATTATAATTCTTTTCATCCCATGATTGACTTGATTCTCCTCCTAGATGAATCAAACCGAACCTCGTTTCTCTTGTGTCATTAGCTCGCTTTCAAAGCTAGGTTCTTCGCCTCCGACAAAGTTTGTATTAATTGTACTTCGATCTTGTCCTTAACTACCGGCTTCAATCCATCAAGATGCCTTCGTCGCTTGTTGCCCTTCGACCTCCCTTAAATCCTTACGTTTAGCCAATCTCATTAATAGTGAGGTATACTCATGAACTCGTTTTTTATCCTTGATTACACCGTTGGTACTATTGTAAAAGAATCCGCTAGTAACCGTGGGAAGAAACTCTTACCGTAGTAACTACCTCATCCTATCCCATGTTCCGATGGGTGTCATTCCTTCACGTTGCCTATGAGCTTGTAACCTCTCCCACTACGTAGAAGCTCCACTCTTCAATCTACAAGCAACCAACAAGCACCCTCGTTCTTTCTAGGATATCCATATAATCAAATAATCGATCAACCTCTCGCAAGCCGCTCTTAAGAATTCCTTAACATTAATTCCCCTTTTAAAATGAGAAATATCAACTTTCAATTTAAATTCATTAGTGTCGTAATCCGCACACCCATATCCAATATTATGACCATAACCCCTCCCATAACCTCTTCTACCATGGCCGGGAAATCTAGGTGGTTCACTTAATACGAATTCATCTTCTTCGAATCATCCTTGTAATCATGATTTCCACATAAATTATCAGCAATAGGTTTGCCAATAGGTATCCGTGAGCTTCTCCGTCTTTACATGGCCTATCATCATTTTTTGTTCTAATTTGCCCCTATGCCTAGAGCATCGAGACAACCTACAATCTCATCAAAATGTCTTTCCATGCATTGGAATCGAAGATCCATCCCTTCCATCCTCTCGCTTCGAGGCCCTCAAAAAGTCCCTATTATTTGGGGCTTTAGCCCTCTACTCAATGGCATGAGAACCACCATCATCACATGCCATCCGATCGAGAAAGGAACATGCTACAATAACACCGACGCAATGAAAAATGCAAGTACACGAGCTGGACAATACCAAACCTCCACAATAACGAGTTTCAACCCGTAAACTAAGAACATGAGTATACCAAAATCCCAATCTTCATTTGCCGCCACCAAACTTTAAAATGGCCTTATATATGATGCTAGACAACACCCCAAAAAAAAAGGTTTTAGGTCTCAAAACTAAATAATTAGAGAAAGGAAATAATATAAATTTGGGCCCGACAATCCAGGACCATCAAACTGAATCCTTCACTCTTCCACGATTAGCCGGGTCCATAAATTCAGCAGCTACGCGTTCCACATCACGATACTTGCTAATACATATTTGAAAATGTATTTTTTATTATAGGGATACTCTACTAGTGCAATTTCAATTATTCTTGCCATGGAAAACATTTAATATTTTAATCTTTTACTTTTTACAATATCAATCTTCGGGAAATAAAAATTAATGAATATTATAAGAAATAAAAATTTTGATTTCAATATTTTTTTATTATATGCACTGTCTAACTTAATTTATAAATTTTCTATATTTTAAATATTATATTTATTTTGAATAATTATTTTAATACTTATAATGTGTACATATATATATATATATATATATATATATATATATATATATTTTAATTACTCATGAATAAACAACAAGAAAAAAATGCTTTGCAGTAATATATCCATTACATAATATATCTTAATATTTCAAAAATGGACGTATCAACCTGTCAATATCTTATCCTATCCATAATCATGCTTTTTAATATTCATGGGTGATTGACTGATTATATAAATTTATTTCTATAATTATTATTTGAAATTAAAATTATCAGAGTTCTTAAACTTTAATTGTTATACTAAAACAAAGCAAAAATTTTTGAAGAAAAACTTTTAAAATAAATTTATTATAATGAAAAAAAATTATTGAAATTAAAATAATGGCTTGTGTTCTTAATTATTTATTAGGTGGCAGGTTAAGACTTAAGCTAGACAAGTGATCAAACTTGGTAGTAAACTAATGTAACGGCATAAATATTGCTTTAAAGATAGTATTGCTAAACATGCTTTAAAAAAGTCCTTTTACTAACAAGTTGGTGCTCCAATAGTCAATAAACTGAACTTTAAACGAATTTATTATTAATGTGTATAGTTCGAATCTTAAAATCATATTTATTGAGAAGAGTAAATTTTATCCTTTGGAAAAAATCAAAAAGTCTATTTCTATAAAGATGATAGTTTATAAATCAAGAGATTGTTTGTACATAATATAAGTTAAAAAAAAAGGTATAATTTCCTCCTTTATTAGAATTTTTGTGTAGAAGTGTGTTTAGACAATTTAATACATCAAATATTTAATAGCACCTTTAATTTAAAGCTGTAATCTTTATATACATATTTTTCTTTCAATTAAAATGTACTTCATAATAATGTATGCAAAGGTTTTAGAAGATCGTGTGAGAAATATTTTATAGTGTGGCCCATATGTCATATTGGTTTTAAATCTATAAGTGACAATTTAAAGACTTAGAGCCCAATGGACTTTAGTAGTGGGCTAGGCATATTCATGATGGATGGAGGTGTAAAATTAGGTTAAAAAAGAGTCTCCGGTCTAGCCATATAAATAGTAAGTAAAGCCTCGTGTTTTCCATCAACACACAAAACTCTAAAGTATTGACATAGACTAGAAGGCTCTCTCTCCTTGGTGGCTCTAGTTTTTTTTCAACAATATCTTGAGCACTTAATCAATCATGATAGGAGGTATGTATCCTATTAATTTTTGCTGCGCTTATATACTTAGACATATTTAATTTTCTAACATGTGGTATCGTAGTCTCCTTCGCTATATTGATTAGTGTTAATAAAAATCCACTAATTATATTTATTGAGGATATACTATGATTTTTATAGAAAAATAATATATTATGGTATGGTTATTTAATTAAAATCTTTAAATCAAAGTTATATATATAACATATGGATATAGATGCACAACAAAGATAAAGGACAAAGTTTTGTATATATATATATATATATATATATAAAGTTGACCATTAAATCGTTTTTGAATGGATGGTGTGGCAAGTAAAGATAAAAGGCTAACAAGTGTCAAAATTGTTATATATATATGAATCACATGGCTTGGATCTATGGCATGCATATTTTTGTCATTTATTTAATGTTTCAATATATATAAATCACATGGCCCTAGATATGTGCATGCATATTTTTATTACTTATTTAATGTTTCAATATATATGAATCATAAGTCCATGGGTGTATATAAATAACAAGCCGCATGTATATAAATAATAAGCCCGACTTGTTAAAGTTTTTAGTCCGTGGGGTGTATATGAATCATAAGTCCTAGACTCAATTGTTTACTTGCAAACAATTTTTTTTTAATTTTCACGCATATATTATAGACTCGTTAGCATAAGTTATATGCAAAAAAATTATTAAATATAATAATAAATAAATAATAAAATGATTTATATTATTATTTTGATGTCAACATAGTGTTATGAGTTGATATTAAAGTATGCTATGTTGAGATGGTAATGTCAATTGACTTAGGAATAGCCACATCATCTTAAGTTATTTTGATGATCACATTAAATTTTATTAAATTAATATGCTCATAAAGTACATAGCTTAATTTGTAATTATTTTATGGAAATAATGACTTGGCCCTACAGGGAGGTTGCTATTTTTATGATTTAATTGGAATAAGATAATAAATTGATATTAAGAATGGATTTTATTCTAGGCACTCGAGTGTGAATATTTTTTATTCTTGATATTTTATTTATTAGTCTTATTATTAAAGAATTAATGAATTCTATGCATGATGCAACCTCTACCTACGGGAATGTTAGAATTTACTATTAAATTGACATTAGTTAATTTAAATAAAGTATGTTTTCATAGTATTAAAGTCTTTTCTTGGTTATTATAACTTTTTCTATTGCTTTTATTGATACATCTACTATTCCAATGCTATGTGGTGATAATTTTGCTGATTAGAAAGAAAATATTCTTTTTGCATTGAGGTGTGTGAATTTGGATTTGGCCTTACATATGGATGAACCACCCATCCCCACGGAATCAAGTGATACATAGGAAAAGATGAATTATGAGCGATGGGAGTGATCTAATCGCTTAATTTTAATGCTCATAAAATCTCACATAAATAAGAGTATTATGGGTTTAATCCCCGAATGTTCTAAGGTAAAATATTTTCTCGAAGGCCATAAAGGAACAATTTGTTAATTCGATAAGGCATTAGCTAGCACCTTAATGAAAAAGCTTTTCGACAAGTCATTTGACTATTCTAAAGGTGTGCACGAGCACATTATGAAAATGAGAGACACCGTCGCTTAATTAAAGTCCTTAGGGGTAAAGATTTTCGAGTCATTCTTGGTGCATTTCATTTTGAACTCTCTCCTTATGGAATATGGTCCATTTAAGATTTCTTACAACAAGCATAAGAAAAAATGATCAATTAATGAATTATTGGCCTCGTGTGTTCGTAAAGAACGAAGATTGAAACTTGAGAAACCCGAAAGTGCTCATTTGGTTTCTCAAGCTAAGGGAAATTCCAAGAAGGGTAAAAATATTCTAAAAGTGAAGAAATATGAAAATATGCCAATAAAGCAAAATGAAAATAATAGTAAATGTTTCTTTTGTAAGAAATGGGGACATGTTAAGAAAGATTGTCCTAAGTATCAAAAGTGGCTCGTGAAGAAAGGTAAACTTTTCTCTTTAGTGTGTCTTAAATCCTTTTTAATTGAGACTCCTAATAATACATGGTGGATTGATTTTGGTTCTACAATCCATATTGTGAATACCATACATGGCTTTCTGGACCTAAGGAAGCCGAAAGAAAATAAAGAAGGCATTTATTTAGGAAATCGGATGCACTCTAAAGTTGAAGTCGTGGGGACTTTTAGATTAATTTTAAAATCTAGATTTATTTTGGATTTGGAAAATGTCTTTTATGTTTCATCATTTTTTGAAATTTTGATTTCGGCTTCAGACTATGTAGTATTAACTATGGATTTTTGTTTAATGAAATTTTTTTAGTATTTTAAAAAATAAAATTTCTATTATTGGTGGAACATTAATTGATGGTTTATATAAAATTGATCTAGAACCCACTTTTGAGCTCAACTATTTATCAATACATGTTAATACGAGTATTAAAAAGAGCAAAATTGATGAGAATTCCTCCACATTATGACATAGAAGATTATGTCACATCTCCATAGAAAGAATTAAAAGATTAGTGGATGATGGAGTTTTAAACGCTCTTAATTTTACTGATTTTGGTACTTGTGTGGATTGTATAAAGGGAAAGCAAACTAACAAGACCACTAAAGGTGCCACGAGGAGCTTAGAAATTTTAAAAATCATACACACCGACATATGTGGACCGTTTAATACTCATTACCTAAATGGTCGGAGATATTTTATCTCATTCATTGATGACCATTCTAGATTTATGTATCTTTATCTTTTACATGATAAGGCTAAAACACTTGATGCTTTTAAGACTTTTAAGGTTGAGGTAGAGAAACAAAAGGAAATGACCATTAAGATTGCGAGGTTTGATAGAGATAGAGAGTATTAGGTAAGTACACTAAAAAAGGACAAATGGCATGTCCATTTGCAAAGTTCTTTGAAGGAGAGAATATTATTGTATAATATACAATACCCGACACACCATAACAAAATGGTGTAGCTGAAAGAAGGAATCGTACTCTCATGGACATGGTGAGAAACATGATTAACAATCCTAATTTACCATTATCCTTATGGAGTGATGCATTAAAGACTCGTTGTGTATATTCTAAATAGGGTTTCATCTA